CTTCTCCAGATGTGATCCCTGGAACACGGATTTCCCAGACTCCAAAACTGTGAGAAATAAATTTCATTTCCTTATAACTTACTCAGTTTCACGTATTCTGTTATCAGTTACAGAAAATGGACTAATACAGGGACCAAGAGTCCTTCCTTACATTCTCTGGGCACAACCTTTCTCAGCTGTAAAATAACCTTCGACTAAGTCAGTTGTGCCAGACTGACATCTCTTTCCCTAGGGTACTAAGGAGCTAAGAAATGGGGATGTACCAACTGTTAGTATTTTTGCAGTCTGGATGGGAAACCACACGTTTGTCTTTGAGAAGTCCACCAGGAAACTAACAAGACAAATACCTTTGCTCTGAGCTAGAATTATATCCTTTTTGGCAGAAACATGGGAAGACTTCAGATTATGCTCATCAGAAGCCCTATTCCATAATTTTATAGTTTTTTATTGAATAAATAAGAAAGTGAATGAATTATTGTATAACTGCTGTAGCTCAGTTGCAAAATCTTTCCAAACATGATGAACAAGGGGAAACGTCTATCTCCTCATGGTCCTGAAATTCAGCTGGCCCNCCAAACATGATGAACAAGGGGAAACGTCTATCTCCTCATGGTCCTGAAATTCAGCTGGCCCCCCCTCATGACCCAGACCACCCCACCTATTTCAGGTAATTGCTGGCCTGCTGTCCTCCACGCCCTGCTCTTCCTCCAGTTCCAGACCTGCCACTGTGACTTGCAGATTCATGGCTCCCTGGCATCTACACCTGCTTTGGGTCCACGTGGTTTTTGGAAGCCTCCATGGGCTCCTTCCTTTGGAATACTGGTCAATCTCTCATTAAATATTCTCCACAGCCTCCTCAGCTAAGACTGCATCCTTTCTCCTGTACCTTTGCTTTCTCTGCTCAGGTTCACTCCCCACCCCCAGACTGCACTGAAGAAGAGGGATCTGGATGCGATCCACAGAATGGGTGAGTTCTGAGTTCCCTTGTCCTCGAAACCTCATAAGAGAGAGACCCTTACAACCCAAAGGCAGAGTTCTTGTAACCATGAGGGCTGAACCATAGGAGATACCCTGAATCAAAAACATGGGGTCTACTCAGTGGCCAAAACAGTTGCTTTTCTCTCTCCGGTGTTGCCCTGTGGCAGCAGGCTGGAGTAGGGAGAGAAGGCCTTCCTCTTCTCTCATAGGATAGTGAGGATGTGGGCTCAGAACTTATACTGATCTTGGTTGCTAGGCCTTGCTCCTCTTCCAGGGAAGAAAAGCCAAATCCTTATCCAGGAAAAAGCACCTAATGCCTCCCCTTGGACATCCCTGAGCTCCTCTTTAGGGAATATCATAAAGGCTCTAGCCTTTGTGAAGTTGCTGTCATGGAGGTCTGTCCGTCCCACTGACCTCGGTGTCTGCTCACGTCCCACCCTCTGCCTTGACTCAGGCAATCTGTCCTGGCAGAACTCCCCAGAACGGCCCTTGCTGTCTCACCGATTCCTGTTCATGCAGGGGCCTGTGCTTGTGCAGTCTCCCTCGAAAGCCTGGCCCCTCTGCTGAGCACTCTGTGCTGCTCTTGACACTGCCAGCAGTGGGACTGGCCCCCTTGGAGTGACCTTGCAGCTTTACACTGGAGTAAGTCTGCCTCGGAACCACCCTGCTGGCTCCTTGGGGGATTTTATCCCAGGCGAGAGCTGAAATTGCTGGGGGGGATTGGTAGACTCCTTCCAGGAATCATTAAATGACAGAAGCATACTTAGGAAGAGGTTTTCCTCTGATCCCTGTCTCTCAAAGGACACAAAATGATAAATATTTATTGTCTTAGATCATGGATTTCTGAAACCTCTCAAGGGGACCAAAAGGAACCCCCAGTGTAAATCCCACATAAGGTGAGTTCAGTGTATGTTGTCTCTTTCCCTTCAGTGCGCACTTGGCACCAAGCTCACTGCAGATGGGCCACTCGGTTCCATGTCCTACTCCCAAAGGGCTCCTCAGGAGGTTGGGGCTGGAGGGAGAGGCGCTGTCTCAGACCAGCAGGTCACTCTGTTTTTGGTGTCGAGCCCATTAATTTCTCAAACGTCAGTCTTTCTCCACTTCCCCCAGGTCTTGGTTTTGAGAAACATAGCAGGCCTTTTCTACCAGGTATTTTTGGTTTTTGTTTGGGGCACGTAAAAACATGTTTTAAGATTTTTTTAAGTTGTATACACTCTATGTATACACTTCAAATGTGTATATGACATGTGTATGGTTCTTTTTAACCCTTTCTGGGTTTTTTTTTTGAGGAAACTTGGAAGATAAACTTCTCGATACATGTATTTTTTTTTTCTTTAGCAACTTGTTATCACTGGAATCAAAGGGAAAAACTGATCTCTTTTTGCATTAGTTGGCACATTTAAATATGTTTTAAGATTTTTTTTTAAGTTGTATCCACCCTATGTCAGGTTATTTTTGTTGCTGTCAAATGTGAATATGACATGTGTATGGCTCTTTTTAACCTTTTCTGGCTTTTTTTAGAGGAAACTTGGAAGATAAACTCCTTGATATATATTGTTTTCTTTAGCAACTTGTTATCACTGGAATCAAATGGAAAAAGTGATTTCTTTTTGCATTGGTCATATTTGTATGTCACAAATTAAAGACACTTTGTTCAAAAAAAAAAAAAAAAAAACAAAACCAAAAAACCCCAAAACAAAACATGGGGTCTAGGCTCTTGCTCCTCACAGTGTGGCACCCAGACCAACAGCATCAGCATCAGCTGGGAGCTGGCTAGAAATGCAGGTCGTCAGACTCCACCCAGACCTCTGGAATCAGAACCTGCATTTTTCCCAAGCTCCCCAGGGGATTCCTGTATACTATAAAATCTGGGAATCCCTGGGCAAGATGATAAAAACTCACTATGATTTAGCCAGTAAGTCAAAATTCTCATCAGCTCCAAAATGCCTTACCATCTTCTTGCCAATGAAAGCCACCCCACATGCCATGAAATTGCTACCCCAAAAAGTTTCTTCATTGCCAAAATAAAATTAAAACCCTGAGTAGTTGACTGAACCATTTACACTTTGGTAGAATTTGGTTTTCAGCCATAAGCAAAGCAGTCACCCACCATAGCTCTGAGGAAATAGGATGGTAAGCAGGTCAGCTTTGATAGGAAGGGTAAAGGGAGTTGGCAGAGTGAGCCCAGCCAGATGAGCATTTGGCAGGTAGGGGTAGGGGGATGGAATGAAGTAAGGAAATACAGCTGGAGGGGTGAGCAGGCCCCCATCTGATGAAATAAAGGGATGACTGTGTCCCCCCAAAATTCATATGCTGAAGCCCTAACCCCCAGGACCTCAGAATGTGACTGTATTTGGAAAGAGGGTCTTTAAAGATATGGGTAAGTTAAAATGAGGCCGTGAAGATGGGCCGTGAAGAGGAGAAATGTCTAATCCAATAGGGCTGGTATCCTTATAAGAGGAGAAAATCTGGACACACAGAGAGACACCAGGGGTGCACACGCCGAGGAAAGACCATGTGAAGACACAGTGAAAAGACGGCCACCAGCCAAGCCAAGGAGAGAGGTCTCAGAAGAAACCAACCCTGCCAACACCTTGATCTTGGATTTCCAGCCTCCAGAACTGTGAGAAAATACATTCTGTTGTTTAAGTCACCTAGTCTGTGGTACTTTTTTATAGCAGCTTAAGCAAACAAATACACTGCCTTGGCTTGTTTAGCTGTTTTAGCTAGAACTAGTTGAGGAAGGAAGCGTGTCATCTCTGTTAGTGGTGTCCCTTCCCCACACACGGAGCTGGCTTCTCCTCATAGTGAGTGTTGAGAATAGGACGGCTGAACCTAGAACCAAAGCCTCCCATTTCTCATCATTTCCTCTCATACTCTTAGGCACACTCTCCATAAAATTGCCCACACTATGACTGCTGATTGCATGGATCCATTAAATGGGACGAGGTCAAAATGCTTTATAATAAAAATAGCTAAAACTTCCATAGCCCCTACTTTGTTCCAGGCAGTGCTCTAAGTGCTGTATGCAAATTAAGCTGCCTAAGCTTCCGAAGTTGGTTCTTTTATTTATATTCTGCAGTGGAAACTGTAATGCCTCCCACTTTTTAGGAATGAAGGATTTCTCTGAACCCCCTTACCACCTTGTTGCTGGGAGAGCTGCCTGCAGATGGCCCTAAGCTATCAGTCTCCAGGAATGCCTCAGTTCATGTGATCAGCAACCCTTATGCTATGATTTGTCAGTGCAAGAGTACAAAGGCCCGACCTCCACACCCCAACTCTGGACCATCCCAGTGCCAGAGCTTCCCAAGAGGGAGGTCTGCTGAAGCCTTTGTTGAGATTCCATCACATCTCAACTTCTCCCTTCTCTTCTGTGTGTGTTAATCCCGAGAACACACCCTAATAACCTTCCTGCTTGCTGATCTCCTACTCAGCGTCGGCTTCCTGGGCAACTGCATCTTCCACACTCTACTTTTACAGATAAAAGAAACTGAGATACAGAGGGGTTCCACAATTGTTCCAAGGCCACATCAATAGCAAGTGATAAAGCTGGGACTTGAGCCCAGGCAGTCTGACTCCAGAATCCATACTTTGAATGACACAATCTTGTCCCATGGATAGGTGCATGCCTGTCTTTTCTTTGATGAAATGTGACCTGGAAAAGGTGGCAATCTAACCTCTGCCCTCCTGCCTCCCTGCATGTCTATTAGAAGGTGAGCAAAATGGATTTCCTCAGGAGTCCGCTAGGGCGCCACTTTCCTGAGAGGTAGCTGGAGGGGTCACCTGTGGAGGTTCTCCCAACACTTGCAGCCCAAATGGCTCTTTCTGGGCCAGGAGGTGTGAAGACAGCCTCCCTTCCTCTGACCTGTCCCTTTCTGCTGCTGCCCAGCTCTTGTAGAAACACGGTGTAATTGCTTGTCCTGTAGAAGCGAACTGAATCAGTGACTCTCTGCTGACAGCGTTAGTGACAGGTGACTACATCACGACACAGGAGCAGCAGCCAGGGCCCGGGTGCCTGTGTTATTTACTGGCCTATCGCGTATAATTTCAGAGTTTAATTTTATCTTCACAAACTGATAGGTGCAAAATGCAGGATAAAGTTCTTTGAGGGGCCCCTGTGAGAAACCAGGCTACACTTGTCCTCCCGCCCCACACCCCCAAAAGCTCTCAGGGTGGCTCACTCAAATTAAATCATTATTGAGAAGAAATAATCCTGGTAGGTTCAGAAAATCAGTTTTAAATTCAGCCTGCTAGCAAAATTCTGAATGTATTTACTTTCTAGATTTCATTTCTCCATCCATATTAAAGCTCCGTGGCATTATCAATTATGGGTTTATTGCAAAGCACAATAGGATTCAATCTGGAGGATGCCTCAGGGTATGTCTTAGGAGGACGATAAAGCTAATAGTAATGGGTCTACAACTTCTAAGGCTAATTTCCACAGTTACAAATTTCATAAATAAATAGAAGGCATGTCAGTTTCCAGTCACCCAGCTTGAGGTCTCTCAGACTGATAAAACAGGACTTCCCATCACACCCAGAGATCAGGGGACTCCTGTTTGGGTCTTGGTAGGATGGCTTGAAGTTCTTCTGATCCCCTGAGAAAGAAAAATGATGGACAGTTCAGATGGAGCCCTTCAGGACCCCCTTGGCCTCTCCTTCGACCAGGGCATGAGCTGGTTTGAATGGAAATGGACACAAAAGCACAGCCAACCCTGGAATCTGGGGTGCTGGTGGGACAGTGTCAGCTAGGATATAGCCAAACTCCCCAACTCGAGGGGATGGGCTGTCATGCATTAGTGTTACATGCTTAAGCCAGGCTTCAGGACTCCAGGCAGGTTGGAGCTCTATCTGTTACAGTCTGGAGCTCTGTTGTTCCTTCGGGAAAGAACAGGCAGCAAGGAGAAGGAGGTGGTGATGTAAGGTGGAAATTT